AAGAGCTTCAAGAGCAGGAGCAAGCCGGGCCTGGGGTGGTTGTTGTGTATCAACAATAAAGAGACTCCCAGTACGCAGTCATCGTTGTACAAACATCAACTGAAAGTGATGGTCAGCGCTGTCACCTCAAATCGTCTCCATAGCTGCAGCTCACTCCCAGCACTCTTCAGATGTGCAAGCTGCACCGTGCGTGTCGGTCAGCATGCGGCTCAGGTGGCTGACGGATGGGTTGAGGACGGACCGGCATGTCGTGGCCTCCCTGGCGTTCGCCGAGCGGGCTGAAAAAGCGCGGGGCAGCGCGAACCATCCAAGTCAAGCAGATCGCCGTTATGCAGAAAATCTCACGACGAATTGACTTCGCGGCATTCCCTTGTCAGCGTCACCACGTGCACCGCGTGCTTTAGAGCCAGTGCCACCATTAGAGTAGCCGAACACCCGCGCTCAAGCACACTCGTAACACACAAACAGGACCCCGGCTATGATTTCAGGTCAAGCAACGCGATAGTGCATGGCACGTGCATTCCACATGCCCCACTTAGAAGCCCTGTCACATTTTGTGACATAGCACATGCATAAGGCCAACTGTGCCAATCAGCTGCCTCATTACTTATAACGATCATCATCCAAATGAATGAAAGCCACAGCTGAGCGAGGAGTCTCACGATTCCTACCTTAGAATCAGGAATACGATGCCTCGGAGGAATTCTAGAATCATGGGCAGGACACAGGTTACGTTGAGCATGGCGTGGAGTCGTTCACGATGCACGCTGCCTGTTTAGCTCAAGTACATTCTACGTGAACCGGCAGTGTACACAATTTAGTTATTCACTTGTTCATTTATGTGTTCCACTGGGTATGATATATATTCAATGTCTCGATTCAAACTGTATGCGATATAGATTTAAAAAATTATGTTACGAGGAATTACATACTTGCTATGAATATGTTGAAACCCTGGATACACTCGGAAGCGAGATGTTCCATTTCAACGGATATAAAAAATTAAATGTCAATTAATATTAAATTCATCTTGATTTGAAGCTTTCGTGACTGCAAGGGTTCATACTCTTTGTCATTTATTTTATTTTACTGATTGTTTTACCTACGTGACTTTATCCAAAAAAAGCAAAGAGGAATTCATGTTTAATTAATATGCAGGGTGCTTCAAATAAATGTTTACATGTATATAATACTATCGCTTTTAATGGAAAAAGAACGGAAAATAATACACTGTTACATGATAACAAATGTAATGTTAATAGCTTCAAAACGTCAAAGAGTCTCCAATTGTTCGCCATCATTGTCAACACGTGCCTGGAATCTTCTCCAGGTGGTCTCCAAAGCCCGGAGGCACATTTCTTGTGGTATTGTTGCAAATTCTCCGAGGTGTTCACATTTGTTTGAAGCACCCTGCAGTAATGTATATGTGTAGAGGAGTAAAATGGGGACGTGACGTCATGGTGTGCCGTTCAGTGCGATGACGTCACGTCTCCCGGGGTACTTAAGGGATACCCCGTGACGTAAGCGGGGTCACTGTGGGAACGGGTAGAGTAAGCAGGGTGAAGAGGGAACCAGGGGTAGAGAGAGGGATCGAGTGGTGAGTCTGGGGAGAAGCCGGTGGTAGCCGTAGAGGTGCTTCTCTCTCCAGTCGGTGGAGTCGGCAAGAGTCCACGATCCGACACGAGAGAGAGAGACCGGAGCGAGCCGGCAGGGACCCGGACTCAGAGTAGGACCCCCCTAGCCCCTGGGAGTGGTGTACCCTGCTGTGTAATATTGATAAGCTCTAATAAACCCTGGGAGTTGTGTACCCTGCTGTGTAGTATTGATAAGCTCTAATAAACCCTGGGAGTTGTGTACCCTGCTGTGTAATATTGTAACAGCTTTAATAAACCCTGGCGAAGCCCTTAACTTATCTCCGTCTACGAGTACGTCCGTCGGAACTTCTCTACATATGTACAGACAATTATTCATCTGTTTTGTAGAGAGCAGCAGGGTGGGGCATTGTAACACATCCCCGTCAACCCATGAGGTTCACCCGTATTCTTGTGCAGGGAAATTGAGTTCTCAGGTCCAGACGGTGTACAGCCGTTTCAACACGGGCAAACAAGTAGTCCATTAGTTCGTGGTTTCTCTCTTGTGATGGAACTTTGTAGGATGAACGTTGAGATGTATAAGGGCACGGGGTGACCAGTAAGGTCTGAATTGGTGTGTAATAAGGTAGCCACTGCGCCCAGTGCGCCTTTTGGCGTCATCTGGTCCAACCCATGTGAGAGACTAGGCTCTAAGGAAAGCTGTCTCGGGTGTGGGCCAATCAACTTCAAGGACAGTGCATACATTATCAGAGTTGTGTTTTTTGTTTGCATTATGACTGCAGGTATTGTGGTCTATGCAAACATGACTCCTTGTAAAAAGGTGTCAGTTTTGTTTCCAGATAGAAGGGTAAAGAACCAATTATCAAGATAGCCACTGATAAGGGGTTGACAGGTGTGCACCTGTAGTGTGTATTTATGCAGTTGTCTCACTCATTAGAGGTGTCTTGTTACAGGAATGAGGCATGTAAATGGTAGGAGGTGGATATTTGTCGACTTATTTGGGCTGTCTTTACGATGATCCTCCCCCATGCTGCACACACACACGTCCCAACCCTCCCCTAACAGGCTCTCAAGTGTTCTCAGAGCACCGTTTAAATCAAATCAATAATTTCCTTCTGAAATAAGTAATATTTTTAAAAACTTTTTCTAAAACATGCTTTAATGAAATGTACGGTACTAGTAATGGCAGAACTCCACGGCTCCAGGAAGTGGCTCTGAAGCTTGCCATAACTAAAGGGTCAACGTCAGTTGAGCGTGGACAATTAGAGCCAAGACGAAACGTAACATATAAAAAATAATGTTTAAAAATACAGTATGTATTTTTTATGATAGAATATAGTATTGTCATCAGTATGACATAAGTATACCAAGTGTGTAGTCGATACCACATTGGGAAGCGGGTTAAAATTGAGTTACAAGATTTGAGGATACTGTAGAACGACAACAGACAGAGCGAGTTACATAAAAGCGTGTAATAAACGGAGGATGTTCGATTTGATATCATGTCTATTTAAAGACTCAACTCAATTATTAATATTCTTGCTTCTTTCGGTAAAGTCACGTAGAAGGGAAATAATAAAATAATAAAAATAAAAGATAAGAATATTATTTATTATTTATTAATAATTATAATAATTATTAAAAATTATTACAAATTACTTTTTTATTATTTCCCTTCTTCGTGACTTTACCGAAAGAACCAAGCAGATGAATCCCTGCAGTCACGAAAGCTTTCCATCGAAGTATTGTCCAAGTTGATTTTTTATTGAAAAACAGCAATTATGAAAATAAGATGTTTGCCTGCGTTTCCTGATCACGCAGTTATATGCAATACAAGTTCAGAATTAATAAGGGCGGCCACTAAATTCAAATAAGGAACCTCTGCCGATGAAGGACAACATGGCAAACAAGGGGAGGGTGTGGCCAGTACCATGCCTGGCCGCCTTTGTCTCCCTCGTGCTCACCTTTACACACTACACCAAGTACCGAGACCATCACCTGTTAAGATAATCAGCACGGATATTAACCGTGGATTGGAATCGAACCCATGTTGCTGGGTTGATAGCGCGATGCACTAACCACTACGCCACCGCTCAGTATACCAAATATCCCCTGTAGAACCTCGGGGCCGTCCATAAATGACGTCACGCGATTTTGGCCGATTTTTGACCCCCCCTCCCCTCGTCACTCGGGGTCACAAAAAGTCAGACCCCCCCCCTCAAATATGACGCCACAAAACTCTGCTCCGCCCCACCCCCCAAAAAAAGAAAAACCTGCTTCAAATCGCTTTAAACTATTATTGTCATTGCGGTGCGTATTTAATGTGGCGCTGCACTCTGATGTTGTAGGAGAAAACATTTATTACAAAGTCTATTTAATTAAGTAGAACGTGTCGTCTATATTTATTTAAAGTTGCGCATTTTGATTTGACGTCACATTTCTCAAACCCCCCCCCCCCGTCACACATCGTCACAAATGTCTGACCCCCCCCCCCAGGTGCGTGACGTCATTTACAGACGGCCTCCTCCACAGGCTGCTGCGGCAAATGCTGTTAGCAGCACCAAGGGAGGCTGGGTTGCCAGCACCACCTTAGTCTCAATGGTGATGTTTACACACGATCCCAAGTTCTCATTTAAGGTTGAGTCGACCTTCGGAGAGGACCAGGGCTGCTTCAGATATTCTTCACTGGCTGGATAAGAGAATCTCACTCATCAAACATACACATACTACAGCAGTGTATGGCGTGGTGGTGCAGTTGTGTACTGCATTAACATAACGTGAATATTTCTTGATACCGGAGGAAACCATTATGATTCTGGCAGCATGGGTTCGATCCCGATTCTGTTGTGGGCCTTCCGGAGGTTGACTCGGCCTAATAAGAGCCCCTGGTGTAGCGTGTAAACATCACCACTGGGAAGGCACAGGGTGGCTGGGCGTGTTGCCGATTAATATCTAACCCCAGCATCCCAAAGCACCTTATATAACCTCTCATCCCAAATACACGAAACACACCACTTCGAATCCTCTTGTACCAGCTCTTCCTGCCCTATGCCAGTCTGATTATGCGCTCGCTGAAAATCGTGGGCTACGAGGCTACAACTGGATGTCACGAAATAAAGATCCCCCAATAGTCATACACCGCTGGGGTACGTGTTGTTAGCGGTCACAAGAGGGTCTAGTTATATCAGCCCATCGGGGCCTGCCATGAAAACCCGGCGTCCATGTTCATTGCTCAAGGACGAGACATTGTGCCCACGGGAAGGTGTTTTGGTAAAAAAGTAGGAGCGATGGGCGACGTGCAACGTTTATAATTTCACGGCATACGCTCACTGGTTCGAGTCCCGACATCTAAACTCACAGGAGGTGCAAAGGGGACAAGGTGGTGGAAAATGCACCAGGCCACGACGATCAATCGTCGGTCTTCCGCGCCAGGCGGCAAAAGCTCCAGTTGTGCTCGACTGTCTCCTCATTGGCACGCTCACTCATGTGGTGCACGCGGGAGCATCTCAGAGAAAACCCCTGGCGTGCAATGTACTCCCACAGGTGCACGCGCAGCGACACTTCTTGCGTATAATCACACGGCCCAAACGTGAAAGACATTTGCGTGTCACGCGTATCCATCATGTGCTTGTTCCAGCGCGTGAAGTTTCCAGCGATACTCTGGAGCAGTGCAAACACCTTGGTTGTGATGGTGAGCTGTGTAATGATCACCGTCACTGGGTTCGAGTACTTGCTTAGCTTGCGAGTGCTTGCCAGCTCCACTGTCTCCTCGTAAGTATCCAACGCGTAAAGGGGCTTTGGCTCATTGAGGCATTGAATGAGCGGCTCTATTTGATAAAAGTCCTTTCGTAGGAGATCAATCTCCTTGAAGTCCTGCGGGAGGGTGAGTTCTGAAGTGCGCAGGAAGTTGAGCACGTAGCGGAAGAGCGGCCCGTCGCGGTCGATGAAGTAGTGTCCCTGCGCGTCTCTCGCCGTTGGCAGGTCCCCGCTGAACATGGCGCCCAGCATGGAATCCGAGTAGCGCGTGAGCGTGGCGCGCGACGTGCTGTAAAGGTGTCCGCCCACGTTCAGCGTCACAGGCTCCGACATTATTATGATGATGATGATGATGTCTCCCATGGCTCCTCATCTTCACCGCGAGATGCAGATGGGCACTGGGCTGGTTGGAAAAACAAAATGTATTTTAAGCATGAAAATCATCAGGCCCAAAGCAAATATTGGCAGGTACTTCATCATCATCACAATCCGTGAGCAGATAGCCCGTAGGTGTCCACTGAGCATTTCGTAATTTGTTTCCACTTTCCTCTATCTTGTGCCAATATGCTTAAGTAGTGCCACATCTTTTTGGCACATAGCTATTTGAATAACACACCAATACAGTGAGCCATTTGCGTTTTGCTGGAATCTGATAAAAAGTCATTTCTGCATTTCGTGGCATGAATTACTTTGAAAAAAGTGTTGGGTATTGCCGCACAACTACTGCTTGAACATTCACATCGCCACGCGAATCACGCCTTGTGGGACTTGAAATAAATGCTGCATTGGACACGCCATACCGCGCAAACCATACCAGTGTGCAGCCATCACAGACAAGATTCTCCATGCCACACCTTGTTTGAAAGACAGGACGGAATCCAGTCTGGGATGCTTATTTCACAAAAATTACACAATGTGTGGTCATTTGTAATTCAACGTTGAAGACAATGTCTCGGCCAATACGTGAAAAGAGTCTGCAGTTTGTAAAATGTGGTTCCTTGAAACTTGTAGATTTGAAGCTTTCGTGACTGCAAGGATTCATACTCTTAGTTCTTTCGGTAAAGTCACGTAGGTAAAAAATGAAATTAAAATTAATAAAAAAATAATAAAATAAAAATCACGACGTTTCGGAGGCAACACAAGCTTCCGTCTTCAGGTGGAACTGATACAGATTTTTTGCTGTGACAGTTTCACCTGAAGACGGAAGCTTGTGTTGCCTCCGAAACGTGATTTCTTTTTATTAATTTTAATTTCATTTTTTACCTACACGGTGACTTTACCGAAAGAACTGAGAGTAAGGTTCCTTGAAACGCAACACAATCGTCGCGAGCGTTGCTCTGGAGAACGTACCAACCATTATCACGCAGCAGACACCACACACGGCCTCTCCTTCCCACGGCGTGACCCCTTCACATCGTCAGCACGCGTCTCACGCGCACACAGCGCCCCGAACCAGCCACGCCGGTGCAACTTGTGCGGGCGCATCGGCGATTCAACCACAAGTTAAATCGACGGTAAATCCTTTCTCGTCGGCGGTCAGCTTTACTTGAGCTAATTAAACACATTGTCCTGCGGAGGGAGCTGCTAGGAACGTCGGGTTGCTCGGTCAATGGCCTGCAGGGTCAACGGCGGCGTGGTGTATTCCGCAGACGTCACGTGACGCCCCCCCCCGCCCCCGCTTGTGTCACGTGCCGGCAGACGTCACGTGACGCCCCCCCCCCCCCCGCTTGTGTCACGTGCCGGCAGACGTCACGTGACCCCCCCCCCCCCCCCGCTTGTGTCACGTGCCGGCAGAAGTCACGTGCGCTGCTGCTGCTACTCGCTCACAGCACTGAAGGTGAAGTGGAAATTAAACATTTTATATTTCTATTTGTTACTTTTATTTAATGTTTTATTTTCTATACAGTATTTTTGTAACTTTTATTTACATTTTATTTTCTATACAGTATTATTTATATTTGTTACACCACAACACCGCACTGTACAGCATCGCCAAGCTTGGTGCGGCACTGTAAGCTGCACTGCGTACTGTACAGTGCGTTGTACACGATCGCTGTACTGTACACGACCCTCTCAAAATGCAAACTCGCCACCATCCCACCACCTCACTCACCCCACTCACCCACCATCCACCCCACTCACTCACCCCCCATCCACCCCACTCACCCACTCACTCACCCACCCACCATCCCACTCACCCCACTCACTCACCCACTCACCCACTCCACTCACCCACCATCCACCCCACTCACTCACCCCCCATCCACCCCACTCACCCACTCACCCACCCACCATCCCACTCACCTCACTCACTCACCCACTCACCCACTCCACTCACCCACCCACCATCCCACTCACCCCCCATCCACCCCACTCACCCACTCCACTCACTCACCCACTCACCCACTCACTCATCCACTCACTCACCCACTCATTCACTCACCCACCCCACTCACTCACCCACCCACCCACCATCCCACTCACTCACCCACCATCCACCCCACTCACCCCACTCACCCACCCCACTCACCCACTCACTCACCCACCCACCATCCCACTCACCCCACTCACTCACCCACCCCACTCACCCCACTCACTCACCCACCATCCACCCCACTCACTCACCCACCCACCCACCATCCCACTCACTCACCCACCATCCACCCCACTCACCCCACTCACCCACCCCACTCACCCACTCACTCACCCACCCACCATCCCACTCACCCCACTCACTCACCCACCCCACTCACCCCACTCACTCACCCACCATCCACCCCACTCACCCACTCACTCACTCACCCACCACCCCACTCACTCACCCACTCACCCACCATCCCACTCACCACACTCACCCACCCACCACCCCACTCACTCACCCACTCACCCCACTCACCCCCCATCCACCCCACTCACCCACTCACCCACTCCACTCACTCACCCACCATCCCACTCACCCCACTCACCCCACTCACCCACCCACCATCCCACTCACCCCCCATCCACCCCACTCACCCACCCACCCACTCACTCACCCACCCACCATCCACCCCACTCACTCACCCACTCCACTCACCCACCCACCATCCCACTCACCCCCCATCCACCCCACTCACCCACTCCACTCACTCACCCACTCATCCACTCACTCATCCACTCACTCACCCACTCATCCACTCACTCACCCACTCATTCACTCACCCACCCCACTCACCCACTCACTCACCCACTCACTCACTCCCCCACCCATCCACCAACTCACTCACCCACTAACCCACTCATTCACTCCACTCACTCACCCACTCACCCCCCATCCACCCCACTCACTCACCCACTCCACTCACTCACCCACCCACCATCCCACTCACTCACCCACTCACTCATTCACCCACCCATCCACTCACTCTCCCACTCATCCACCAACTCACCCACCCACCCACCCATTCACTCCACTCACTCACCCACCCACTCACCCCACTCACCCACTCACTCACCCACTCACCCACTCACTCACCCACCCGACTCATTCACCCACCCACCAACTCACTCACCCACTCACTCACTCACTTATTCACTCACCCCACTCACCCACTCACTCATTCACCCACCCATCCACTCACTCCCCCACCCATCCACCAACTCACCCACCCACCCACTCACCCACCCACCCACCCACTCACCCACTCACTCACCCACCCACTCACCCCACTCACCCACTCACTCACCCACTCCACTCACTCACTCACCCACCCACTCCACTCACTCACCCACCCGACTCATTCACCCACCCATCAACTCGCTCACTCACTCACTCACCCCACTCACCCACTCACTCACTCCCCCACCCATTCACCAACTCACTCACCCACCCACCCACTCACTCACTCATTCACTCCACTCACTCACCCACTCACCCACCCACCATCCCAATCACTCACTCACCCCACTCACTCACCCCACTCACTCACCCCACTCACCCAACTCACCCACCCCACTCACTCACCCCACTCACCCCACTCACCCCACTCACCCCACTCACCCACTCACTCACTCACTCACCCCACTCACCCACCCCACTCACCCCATTCACTCACTCCACTCACTCACCCACCCCCCATCCACCCCACTCACTCACCCCACTCACTCACCCACCCACCCACTCACTCACCCCACTCACCCACTCACTCACTCCCCCACCCAACAACTCAATCACACACCCACCCACTCCCTCATTCACTCCACTCACTCACCCACTCGCTCACTTATTCACTCACTCTCTCCACTTACTCTCTACTCACTCACTCCACTCACTCACCCACTCACTCACCCACTCACTCACTCACCCACCCCACCTACTCACCCACCCAGCCAGCCCACTCACCCACTCACTCACTCACCCACTCACGTACTCACTCACCCACTCACTCACCCACTCACTCACCCCCCACTCACCCACTGCTGGCGACCTACAAGATGGATAATTACAGGCAAGGACATTTTAAATTAAAACTTTCGTGACTGCAGGAATTCATATGCTATGGTTCTTTCGGTAAAGTCACGTAGATAGAAATAAAAATACAAACGATCGCAACACGAGCGTATGACGACCGTTTGTGTTGCGATCGAAGCGTCGTGATATTTTTTATCGCTTTTTTTCTATCTACGTGACTTTACTGAAAGATACTCTTTGGTATAAAGTTTCTACCCACGTGACTTTACCGAAAGAATCAAAGAGTATGGATCATTGCAGTCACGAAAGCTTCAAATCAAGATTTCTCTGAAGAACCATAAAATACAGGCAAGGACCCTATCAGAAATGGGTCCTGTAACCAAAGGCAACATCGCCTCCTGCCGGCAGATACATATTTAGGTTGACCTATGGATGAACTCTCTCGTGAAGCCTTGAGGCATTGAAGACTTCACGAACTACGTGATCGAAATAGATGTTAAATCATGTGCGAACCAGAGGACATCCCTGTCGCACCCCAAGGTGTACAGAGAAAGGCTCCGACTCCCGGCCACGTAGTTTTACTAGGGCCCGCTCACCATCATGAAGGTCCTTAATGATGATGAGCAGAGAGTCAGGGACTCTGAAAGCACAAAGAACAACCCAGAGGCCAGGCCTACTGATTGTATCATAGGCCTTGACTAGGTTGATCAAGCAGAGATGTAGGTGTTTTTGGAATTCCCTACACCTCTGCTGTAGCAGACGGACAGAAAATATGGCATCTGTGCAGGACCACCCTTTCCTGAAACCACATTGGGGCTCCGCAAGCCTCTCCTCAGCGTGCCTAGCAAGGCGATGTTGAATAATCCTTGCCAGGACCTTTCCCGGCACACTGAGGAGTGAGATGCCCCTGTAGTTGTTACAGTCTGTGCGGTCCCCCTTCTTAAAGAGGGGGACCACCAGGGCATCCTTCCAATCCTGCGGAACCCGTCCAGCGGTCCAGACTATTGTTATGATGTCATATAGGGCAGTCTGTGCACAAACGCCACCCTCCCTCAGCATTTCGCTTGGGAGATCATCTCTGCCCGGTGCCTTTCCTGGTCTCAGACTCCGGATCGCCTTCAGTACTTCCTCAACAGATGGCACCTCAGCCAGCCACTCACAGGGGGTGACTACTTCCAATAGTTGAGGCACCGCAGCTTCAGCAGAGTCATCCACACTTTACGTGGCAAGATCAAACACTGGTTAGTTTATTAGTATATATATTTAAGTGATTTGTTTACTCTTCCTGTGCTCTGCCCTCACATCGTGTTTGTTGTTATTGTGATGTTCTGACCCAGTGCCCCAGCTGGACATCTGTGCAAGAGAACTTCATAGCTCTTTAGATTCCTCCTCCTGCAGTCTTAATACATATCATTCCCACTGCTCCACCTCCTCCTGCTCTCCCCCCCTCCTCCTGCTACCTCCCCCCTCCCCTCCTGCTCCCTCCCTTCTACCCCCTCCTCCTGTTCCCTCCCTCCTGCTCCCTCCTCCTAGCCAAGTGAAGGAAGCCCCCGGTCCGACCGTCCGCTCCTCCGATGGGCGCCCTCCCCACGGCACGCTTCGTGGCGCTGATATTGGCCGTGCTGGGCGCCCGTCACCACCCCCTCGGCCTGTCCCTTGGCCGTGAGTAGCCAACTGCAGTCTCACGTTCAGGTGGTCAAGGCCGTGACGACGTCTCCTCCGTGCTTCTTGATCGTCGCGTCGTCACGAGTCGGATGAGCGCGGTCGCTACACTCCTACCGGAGGGTTTCACGTGTTTCCATTCGTGCTCCGGGTCTCTCCCGCGTCTGTCGCCGCGGCCACGCTTCTGTTAACCCGTCGATCTCTTGCAGACACTCACCCTCCGACCATCAGGCGCCACTCGCCGTTGAATTACATCGTGGAGCCGCAGGACGACATTGTGATGGAGTGTGAGGCTGAAGGAAACCCAACGCCCAAGTACGCTCCCTCTCCTCCCTCCCTCTCCTCCCTCCCTCCCTCTCCTCCCTCCCTCCCTCCCTCCCTCTTGAACCTCCCTCCCTCTCCTCCCTCCTCTCCCTCCCTCTTGACCCTCCCTCCCTCCCTCCCTCTTGACTCTCCCCTCCCTCCCCTCCCTCCCTCTCCTCCCTCCCTCCCTCCCTCCCTCCCCTCCGACCCTCCCTCCCTCCCCTCCCACCCTCCCTCCCTCCCCTCCTCCCCTCCCTCCCCTCCCATCTGCGCGTCAGGTTCCAGTGGAGTAAAGACGGCCGGCGCTTTGACCCCGACTGTGACCCCCACGTGAGGCAGCGTGGCAACGGCTCCGGCACGTTCACCGTGGACACGGCGTCCGTGGGCAGCGGCTACGCCGTGGAGGCCTACGAGGGGGTCTACCGCTGCGCGGCGGAGAACCGCGACGGCACGGCGCTGAGCGCCAACATCACCGTGCGGCTGGCGCGTGAGTAGCGGCGTGCGCCGCGGTGCCGGCCTCGCTACGGCGCTACTCGCTACGGCGCTACTCGCTAGCGGCACTACTCGCTAGCGGCGCTACTCGCCCCGACGGTCTGTTAAGGCGACACGGGGGGGGGGGGGGGTCTTTGTTCCTTCCCAAAGGTGGGGGAAGGGAGGCGTGGCCTGGGACGGGGATATCAGCGTGGTGTGAACACAGAGCGAGGGCTGTTGAACTCCGAAGTGAAGACGACATCATCGGTCCTCAAGTCCCGGGTCGTCGTCCTGGGCCAGGCAGCCCGCAGCCTGCCTGGTCCCCTCTGTGTCGTGTCCCAGAGTGTTAGCGAGTTGAGGAAGGTGGTCACCACCTCATGTACGTTGTTATATCTCTCACCGTTAATACATAGTGTTGCCCCCAAGCTGCGTGTGTGTGTGTGCACCCAATTGGAACCCACCGCACTTGTGCCGCAGGTGTCCCGGTGTGGCCCCGCGAGAACCCGATGCCCGTCACGGCCACGGAGGGCTCTCCGGCCGCGCTGCGCTGCCACCCTCCCCGCGGCTTCCCCCCTCCCGACGTCTTCTGGCTGGACGGCTGTGAGTACCACGGTGGCTGGGAGATGTTGACTACCTCGCCTGGTAGGCAGGAGGTCTGTGTCTCTCTCTTTCATCATCACCACGGTGGCCAGGAGATGTTGACTACCTCGCCTGGTAGACAGGAGGTCTGTGTCTCTCTCTTTCATCATCACCACGCTGGCTGGGAGATGTTGACTACCTCGCCTGGTAGACAGGAGGTCTGTGTCTCTCTCTCACCATCGTCACCACGCTGGCTGGGAGATGTTGACTACCTCGCCTGGTAGACAGGAGGTCTGTGTCTCTCTCTTTCATCATCACCACGGTGGCTAGGAGATGTTGACTACCTCGCCTGGTCGACAGGAGGTCTGTGTCTCTCTCTCACCATCGTCACCACGCTGGCTGGGAGATGTTGACTACCTCGCCTGGTAGACAGGAGGTCTGTGTCTCTCTCTTTCATCATCACCACGGTGGCTAGGAGATGTTGACTACCTCGCCTGGTGTGCAGGAGGTCTGTGTCTCTCTCTCATCGTCATCATCACGGTGGCTAGGAGATGTTGACTACCTCGCCTGGTGTGCAGGAGGTCTGTGTCTCTCTCTCATCGTCATCATCACGGTGGCTAGGAGATGTTGACTACCTCGCCTGGTGTGCAGGAGGTCTGTGTCTCTCTCTCATCGTCATCATCACGGTGGCTAGGAGATGTTGACTACCTCGCCTGGTGTGCAGGAGGTCGTGGGTTCGATCCCCGACCCTGACGACGCCTGCTGCCGCTGTATATTTGGAGTCTGCGTGTCTCTCTCACCATCGTCATCATCACGGTGGCTAGGAGATGTTGACTACCTCTCCTGGTGTGCAGGTCTTGTTCCTCTCTCCTACGGATGCTGATGTAGATGCAGAGACAACGACTAGAATGTCACATGCCGGGGGTCAGCGAGGCAAGCGAGAAGTGGAGTGCATCGTGCCGTGATGTCTCCTTCCAGATTTGTGAATCGGGGGGCAAAGCGTCGTTACACGTTGTACAGTCTCTCTTCTGCTGCCATGACTTGTGATGATGATGCTGATGATTATGATGCTGATGGTGACGATGTTGATGATGATGCTGCTGCTGATGATGACGATGATACTGATGACGATGCTGATGATGATGCTGCTGATGATGATGATGCTGATGATGCTGCTGCTGATGATAATGATGATGCTGATGATGATGATGCTGACGACGATGATGCTGATGATGACGACGATGATGCTGATGATGACGATGATGCGGGTTTCGCGGTGGACATCTGTGACTAGGAATTTTCATGGCTCATCGGATTCCTGCTCCCGCAGTCTTAAAGATTCTGATTCCGATCCCCTTTCACCCCTCACCCCCCCCCCCCCTGTGGTGGTGCTGGCGCTGCAGCCATGCAGAGAGTGCGGCTGGATGCCCGAGTATCCCAGGGCCTGCAAGGAGACCTCCACTTCGCCAACGCGCTCCGCGGAGATGTGGACTACTACGTGTGCTGCACCCGCCACCCACGCAGCGGCATCGTGCAGCAGAAGAAGCCGATTCGTCTGATCGTCAAAGCCGGTGAGTGGCGGCGGTGATCGCTGGTGCCACGTGTGTGTGTGTACGTGTGTGTGTGTGTACGTGTGTGTGTGTGGCTACGTGTGTGCGTGTGTACGTGTGTGTGTCTGTGTACGTGTGTGCACGTGTGTGTGTGTGTGTGTACGTGTGTGTGTGTGGCTACGTGTGTGTGTGTACGTGTGTGTGTGTACGTGTGTGTGTACGTGTGTGTGTGTGTGTGTACGTGTGTGTGTGTGGCTACGTGTGTGTGTGTGTACGTGTGTGTGTGTGTGTACGTGTGTGCACGTGTGTGTGTGTACGTGTGTGTGTACGTGTGTGTGTGTGTGTGTGGCTACGTGTGTGTGTGTGTACGTGTGTGTGTGTACGTGTGTGTGTACGTGTGTGTGTGTACGTGTGTGCACGTGTGTGTGTGCACGTGTGTGTGTGTATGTGTGTACGTGTGTGTGTGTGTGTGTACGTGTGTGTGTACGTGTGTGCGTGTGTGTGTGTACGTGTGTGTGCGTGTGTACGTGTGTGTGTGTGTACGTGTGTGTGTGTACGTGTGTGTGTGTACGTGTGTGTGCGTGTACGTGTGTACGTGTGTATGTACGTGTGTGTGTGTGTGTACGTGTGTACGTGTGTGTGTACGTGTGTGTGTACGTGTGTGTGTGTACGTGTGTGTGTACGTGTGTGTGTGTACGTGTGTGTGTGTACGTGTGTGTGTGTACGCGTGTGTGTGTGTACGTGTGTGTGTGTACATGTGTGTGTGTACGTGTGTGCGTGTGTGTGTGTACGTGTGTGCGTGTGTGTGCGTACGTGTCTGTGTGTGCGTGTGTATGGGGAGCGGTAGTGTAGTGGTTAGCGCGCTGCACTACGGACCTGGCCACCCGAGTTCGATTCCCGCTCACGGCAAACACCAGTGATGATTATCTGGGCCTCCCCTAGGTCGACTCAGCCTCAAATGAGTACCTGGTGTGGTGTGTAAACATCGCCACTAGGGAGACAAAGGCGGTCGGGCGTGGTGCTGGCCACCCACCCCCTCGTGTACCGTTCCGGCCTTCATAGGTGATCGCTAACAGCACTTGCCCCTACAGTCTGTTAAGGCTACACGGGGGATCTTTGTTATCTTTGTGTGTACGTGTGTACGTGCGTGTACGTGTGTGTGTGTACATGTGTGTGTGCACTTGTTTCAGTCACAGGTTTGGTGAGCCCACGAGCTGCTAACCCCGAGTAGCCACGATGAGTCAAAACAAACGTCGCTGGAGATCTTCTTTGAAAAGGGAGAAAGACCCAATTGTGACCCCCCCCCCCACTCCGCCCGGTCCGTGAAAAAATTGTCTTCCACGAAACGGGTCCCTGGTGCCAAGAAGGTTGGGGACCGGTGCTCTAGACGATGAGAGTTGGGCCTGTCGCCACAATAGATGATCATCTTTGTGGGGGCATAAGTAACCTTGACCGCCACTCCTCGCCTCTGGTTGATGGGAAGGCGAGCTCAAAGTAGCCTGGGGCTTACGGCTTCCCACACCTCACCGCCACGCTCCCACACCCCCTTCAATTCTTTGCTCAGAAGATGAGCCACTCCCTGTTGTTTGTCAGTCTCCTGCCCTGAGTAGAGGGCTGTTTACCCCTCATGGTGGCAGGAGCCAGAGCCGGTCCACCGGACCTCCTGAATACCACGGAGATCCAGGTGGTATTTGTCCAGCTCCCGACAGAGGAGTGGCAGCCTCTCATCCGCAGTGAGCGTTCGAACATTCCACGTGACCACCCGCAGTGGCTTTTTGTTGTTTCTGGAGGAACCCCGAGGGTAAGGATTCAGTCTCCTGGCTCCGCCAAATGGGGTTTGGCCAGGAGACGTCATAGACGCCTGTGCCCCCGCTAGAATATGTTTTTATTGTTTTGTGCGAATTTATTGAAGGTGGAGGGGTGACCAGCCCCTCGCACCTGTCCAGAGCCCCCATTTGGCCGCTGTGGTGGTTACAAACGTGAGGGAAATGGTCGATTGATATTTGCCCTCCCCCCACGGCACTGCTGCCCACCACAGCGTTCTCATGCGGCACCGACGAGGAGGTAGGGGGTTGTTTTGCCGAACTTGACAAAGACCCCCCCCCGTATAGCTTCAACAGACTGTTGTTATGATAATTGGTTTTTTACCCTTCTATCTGGCAACAAAACTGACACATTTTTTTCCAAGGAGTCATGTTTGCATAGACCACAATACCTGCGGTCATAATGCAAACAAAAACATAACTCTGATAATGTGTGTGCACTGTCCTTGAAGTTGATTGGTCCACACCCGAGACAGCTTTCCTTAGAGCCTAGTCTCACATGGTGTTGGACCAGATGAGAGCTCGGGGTGAAGCATTTACACCATTGGAACCTCATTTGCCAGTAAAAAATATGATAATTGGTTTTTTACCCTTCTGACTGTTGTTAGCGAGCAGCTATGAAGGCCGACACGGCACACAAGGGGGTGGCCAACACCACGCCCGGCCGCCTTTGTCTCCCCGGTGGCGATGTTTACTACACAACGCGCCAGGCACTCATTTGAGGCTGATTCGACCTAGGGGAGGCCCAGGATCGGTTCAGCTAATCAAAGTGTTGTCTGTGAGCGAGAATCGAACTCGGGTCAGCGGAGTGGGAGCGCAGCGCGGTGCGAACCACGACACTGCCCACCCACCCACCCACTCCCCTACGCACGCACACACACACAGCTCATCCCTCGAAGAGACGTCCGGTTTTCGTGGAGCCTGGGGGTGAGACAAGCAGCAGACTGGTGCTTCAGGGAGACACGCTACTGCTGGGCTGCATCGTACAAGGGTTGTACGTACACACACAACAACAACAACCGCCATTCGCCACTAAGTGGCGGTGACGTCACCACGACGCTTGTGCCAGGCCATGTGCATGTTGAGGCCACGCGAAGTGTCGAACGCCCGCTGGCAGGAGGTCACGGGGCAGACCCAGCAGGTGCCAGGGGTCGACTGACTGAGATGACCGAGATGACTAGCTGATGCACCACCTGTGCCCCCTACTGTACCAACTTGCTGTGCTTTAGCCACCCGGCGCGCCGCTCGTTGTTGTGAGCGTCGCTCCTCCGCCCTCAGTTGTTGTTGGAGGGCGACTGCCTCCAACTGCCCAGTAGCGTCCTTCACGAGCCTCCTCCACTGAGGCCGATCTTGACACCGCTGGTACCAGTCATCGGCAAGTCCACTCAGCTCCACGTCCTCCTGTACCACATCACTCCATCTCTTCTCTAGCCCGTGCCGCGCCCGTTTAGCTCCCTCTATCCTGCCGAACAAAAGCTGTTTAGGCATACTCTTGAGTCTTTCTGTGTTGCGATCGAAACGTCGTGATTTTAAAAAAAAAATTCTATCTACGTGACTTTACCGACAGACACGAAAGCTGTTTAGGCATGCGGTATCTGGGCCAACGCAGCCGTGCCTGCCGGAGGAGCTCACCGATGGGACTTTGTCCAGATCTTGCAAGGATTTGTGAGCTCCTCACACAATCCAGCCTGGTTAAACCCAGGATGGATCGTAGGCAGGCCAGCCTAAATGTTTCTAACCGGCAAAGATGTTCCATTAGGGGGATCCAGGTTTTGCAAGCGTAGAGAAGGGAGGGAATGACCGTGGCTGAAAAGACCTGAAGCTTCGTGCGGAGTGACAGACCAGGTAGCTTCCACACAGCATTACGCAACCGATGAAAAGATATTGCCGCTCGACTGATTCGGAGTGAGACCTCTGCTGTTAAACCAGAGCCGGTCATGAGCACACTGCCCAGGTATGGGAAACTCTTCACTCTCTCCACAACTGCCCCATCACCAATTAGGAGTTGTGGGGGTGGAGTGCCCGATGGTACAAAATACCCAGGCAGGTGCTTAGTTTTGGTGGGTCTGATGGTAAGGCCCCACCTCTTAGTGGCAAGCTCCAGGTTCAGCAGCAGCGTCTCCAACTCTTCCTCTGAGTGAGCAGCAATTACCAGATCATCGGCATACATAACGCAGTTGACCAATAGGGCGCCATCCCTTGACCGCACCCGGGCATCGATCAGCCTCCCATTGTATCTGTACCAGATGTAAATTCCTCCGGTACAGCCATCGAAGGCTTCACGAACTACGTGGTCGAAATTGATGTTCAATAATGTGGGAGCCAGAGGACATCCCTGTCGCACAACAAGGTAAACAGGGAATGATTCCGACTCCCGGCCACGTAGTTTTACCCGGGCCCACTCGCCATCGTGAAGGTCCTTAATGATCGTGAGCAGAGGGTCACGCACGTGCACACACACGTACACACGTACACACACACGCACGTACACACACACGCACGTACACACACCACGTACACACACACGTACACACACGTACACACCACGTACACACACACGTACACACACGTACACACACACGCACGTACACACACACGTACACACACGTACACACACACGTACGTACACACACGTACACACACGTACACACACACGTACGTACACACACGTACACACACACGTACACACACACGCACGTACACACACACGTACACACACACGTACACACACACGCACGTACACACACACGTACACACACACGCACGTACACACACACGTACACACACGTACACACACACGTACGTACACACACATGTACACACACACGTACGCACACACGCACGTACACACACACGTACACACACGTACACACACACGTACGTACACACACACGTACACACACACGTACACACACGCACGTACACACGCACGTACACACGCACGTACACACACACGTACACACACACGTACGTACACACACACACCACACGACTATACACTTCACTACTGTACACTACACTGCTACGCACTACACTATACACTACACGGCATATTCCACGCCGGTTTCGCACGCACACCCACGGACGTGCGTGCGTGCGTGCATGCGAGCGCACGTGCGTGTGTCCACGTGCGTGCGTCCACGTGCGTGCGTGTGTGTGTGTGTGCCCGCGTGCGTGTGTGTGTGTGCCCCCGTGCGTGCGTGTGTGTGCGTGTGTGCGTGTGTGTGTGTGCGTGTGTGTGCGTGTGTGTGTGTGTGCCCCCGCGTGTCCACGTGCGTGTGTGTGTGCCCCCGCGTGTGTGTGTGTGCCCCCGCGTGCGTGTGTGTGTGTGTGTGTGCGTGTGTGTGTGTGCCCCCGCGTGTGTGTGTGTGCGTGTGTGTGTGTGCCCCCGCGTGTGTGTGCGTGTGTGTGTGTGTGTGTGCGTGTGTGTGTGTGTGCGTGTGTGTGTGCGCGCAGCCCCACGCCGCATCTCCGCTGGGCCAAGGTGGGCGGGGAGCTCCCGAGTGGCCGATTCACCTTCGGCGCCTTCAACCGGACGCTGGCGATCCACCACGCGCTGGCGGCCCACGCCGGCGCCTACCAGTGCCACGCCGCCAACAGCGAGGGCAGCGCCCGGCACACCGTCACCGTCACCGTGGAAGGTGACTCGGGGCCACGCAGCGGCGGGGAGCGGCGGCACGACGGTTAGCGAGCCCTGCGGCACAGCAGAGGTCGCAGCCGGGTACCCCCCGATACCCGTACCCTACCCGATACCCGGCTACCCGTACCCTACCCGATACCCGGCTACCCGTACCCTACCCGATACCCGTACCCTACCCGATACCCGGCTACCTGTACCCGATACCCGTACCCTACCGATACCCGGCTACCCGTACCCTACCCGATACCCGTACCCTACCGGATACCCGGCTACCCGTACCCTACCTGATACCCGTACCCTACCCAATACCCGGCTACCCGTACCCGGCCGGGTACGGGTAGGCCGTGAGTCACTTGTGAGTTTCCGTTTGTCACTCATTTCCCAACGTCTTGTCTCTTCTCACAATTCAAGTTCCTAGAATCAACCCACCCGCGCCTGCAACATGGCTTCATCCCAGAGGTCGTAACCGGGTACCCGATACCCGTACCCTACCCATACCCGGCTACCCGATGCCCGGACGGGTACGGGTACTCGTTTGCGACCCTGGTGCGGCCGGGTACGGGTAAGGAATCAAAACCCGTTTGCGACCTCTGCAGCCCAGGTCCCGGCGACGATTATCTCGACCGGTCACGGGCCTCTCCTAGGTCAACTCGACCTCAAACGAGTACCCCCCCTCCTCCCCCTGCTCCCCCCCTCCAGCCAAGCCGTACTGGATCACTCCGGAGCCAGAGGGGCGCTTCTACGCACCGTGGGACACGGTGAGGCTCGCCTGCCTCGCCGACGGAATCCCCAAACCGCTCGTCCGCTGGTTCTTCAACGGCGTCCCCATCAGCGGTGAGGCGCCTCCTCGCCCGCTCGTCCAAACCTACGCGCTCGCTCACACGCTCAGCCGCTCTCTCGTACGCTCACTCGCTCACACGCTCGCACGCTCGTAGCCTGAGAAGGGGTTTTCCCCTTTTTTCTGGCGACAAAACAGCTGTGTTGAGATGTTAAAACACCAAACTGAAACCTTTCACAAGAAATCGTGTCACTGCATTAACCACATATACTAGTGGTCAGGATGCAAACAATAAACATACTCTGATAGTATATCCCGAGGGGCCACTTTAGCTACCACTTGTGACAGGAGGTCATAGAAGGCATCTGACTCATCGACCTTGCCTGCAACCCTCCACGGATGTTCATCTTCGGTGGGGGCATATGTAACCATGACCACCACTCCTCGCCTCTGGTTGATGGGAAGGCGAGCCCAAAGTAGCCTGGGGCTTACAGCTTCCCACACCTCATCGCCACGCTCCCACGCCCCCCTCATTCTTTTTTCAGAAGAGCAGCCGCTCCCTGTTGTTTGGCAGTCTCCTGCCCCGAGTAGAGGACTGTCCACCCCTCATGGTGGCAGGAGCCAGAGCCGGTCCACCGGACCTCCTGAATACCACAGAGGTCCAGGCGGTACCATTCCAGCTCTCGACAGAGGAGTGGCAGCCTCTCCTCCGCAGTGAGCGTTCGAACATTCCACGTGGCCACCTGCAGTGGTTTTTTGTTGTTTCTGGAGGAGCCCAGAGGGTAAAGATTCAATCTCCTGGCTCCGCCAAATGGGGTTTGGCCAGGAGATAGTATGATGCATTGTCTTTCAAACTGATTGGTCCACACCAGAGGCAGCTTTCTCTGGTGTGGACCAATCAGTTTCTGTGAGTTTCACAGTTTCAAAGACAATGCATCATACTACTATCAGAGGATGTTTATTGCTTGCATTCTGACCACAAGTATTGTGGTTAATGCAGTGACATGATTCCTTGTGAAAGGTTTCAGTTTGGTGGTTTAACATCTCAACACAGCTGTTTTGTTGCCAGAAAAAAGGGGAAAACCCCTTCTCATATTTTGGTACTGGCAAAGGAGGTCCCATGATTTAGCCACTCACAGCCTATCACACTCACAGCCTATCACACGCCTACGCTCACTCACAGCCTATCACACGCTCACTCACAGCCTATCACACACCCACGCTCACTCACAGCCTATCTCACTCACAGCCTATCTCACTCACAGCCTATCACACGCCCACGCTCACTCACAGCCTATCTCACTCACAGCCTATCTCACTCACAGCCTATCTCACTCACAGCCTATCTCACTCACAGCCTATCACACACGCACGCTCACTCACAGCCTATCTCACTCACAGCCTATCTCACTCACAGCCTATCACACACGCACGCTCACTCACAGCCTATCTCACTCACAGCCTATCTCACTCACAGCCTATCACACACCCACGCTCACTCACAGCCTATCTCACTCACAGCCTATCTCACTCACAGCCTATCTCACTCACAGCCTATCACACACCCACACTCACTCACAGCCTATCTCACTCACAGCCTATCACACGCGCACGCTCACTCACAGCCTATCTCACTCACAGCCTATCACACACGCACGCTCACTCACAGCCTATCACACTCACAGCCTATCACACACCCACACTCACTCACAGCCTATCACACACGCTCACTCACAGCTGATTGCACACTTAGTCAACCAATCACAGAGCCTACCGAATTCAGCCAGATTGTGCCAAATTGTGATAATAATGCCAAATCACACCGCGCAATACCAAGTCGCAATACATTTTGCCAAATTCTTCTGATAATAATCGCGTCAAGACCCCGCACACCAC